GTCAATGTTTACATTTATAAACTCAAAATATAAAAATACTTGAAGAAAATCTAAAATAGATTCCTCTGGACATTGGCCTAAGCAAATAAAATATGACTAACACTTCAAAAGCAAATGCAATGAAAACAAAATTAGAGAAACAGGATTAGTTGAACCAAAGATCATCTGCACATCAAAAGAAATAACCAACATGGTGAACAGACAACCTGTGAATGATAAAAAAAAAAAAAAGTTTGCAATTTATTCATCAAAGGGCTAGTATATAGAATCTACAAGTAACTCAAATAAGTCAACTAGAAATAACAACTTCATTAAAGAGTGAGCAAAAAACAGATGTTTCTCAAAAGAAGACACAGAAGTGGCCAACACAAATAAGAAAACATACTCAGCATCACCAATCATCTGATAAATGTAAATTACAAACAAAATTATATAGCATCTTCCACCAGTCAGAATGGCTGTTATTATAAATAATAAACAGCAGGTGTTTGCAGAGAATCATAGGAAAAATAATGCTTTTTATATGCTTGATGAGAATATAAATTTGTACAACCTCTATGAAAACCAATACAGAAGTTTCTCAAAGAACTAAAATTAGAATTACCATTCAACCCTGTAATCCCTCCCAGTGGGTATATTCCTCCCAAAAGGAAACTTTTATATCAGAAAAAGTCACCTACATTCCTATTTTTATTGCAACACTATTTTCAATAGAAAAGTCACGTAATCTCTCTAAGTGTCAATCAGTGGAAGATTAGATAGATAAAACATGATAGATGTAACTCATGGAATGCTATACAGCCGTAAAAAATGAAATTGTGTCTTTCACAGCAACATGGATAGACTTGAAGGACTTTATCCTAAATAAAATAACTCCAAAAAATTATCTCTTATAATTGGAAGGTAAACGATGGGTACACATGTGTGTAGATAAAAACAGTAGACACTGGGGACTGCAAAGGAGGGCAAGGTGAGAGGAAACTGAGGGTTAAAAAGTTACCTACTGGCTCCAATGTTCACTATTGGGTGATAGTTGCACCAGAAGCACAAACCTCATCTCTATGAAATATATTCATGTTACAAAAATGCACATGTCCACCTTGATTCTATAAAAATAAAAACAGAACTAAAACATGAACAGAATTGTGAGACTGCTGGCTAGATTTATCAACAAACAAGGAAAATGCAAAGGAGCAATTCTTTGTTTTGGAACCTTTTCTTATTTTCTGTTCCTATAAGAAATTGTAGACTATTATCCTATATTCGTTTCTGAAGCACTAGCATTAGCCATTTCTCAAAGAAATTCTGGTTCCTTTCTTTCTTTCTTTCTTTCTTTCTTTCTTTCTTTCTTTCTTTCTTTCTTTCTTTCTTTCTTTTCTTTCTTTCTTTCTTTCTTTTTATTATGTATTTATTTATTTATTTTTGAGACAGAGTCCAGGCTCACTGCAACGTCCACCTCCCCGGTTCTAGCGATTCTCCTGTCTCAGCCTCCCAGGTAGCTGGGATTACATTGGAATTACAGACATGCAACACCACACCTGGCTAATTTTTGTATTTTTAGTAGAGGCGAGGTTTTACTATGTTGGCCAGGCTGGTCTCGAACTCCTGACCTCAAATGATCTGCCTGCTTCAGCCCGCGAAAGTGTCGGAATTATGGGAATTACTAATTTGAAAATGAATCCAACTTCCAGGAGAGATGAAAATTTCTTTGTGGTGAACGGGGTGAAGATTGGAGATATGGTTGAACACTGAGGTTGTCATATATATATCTACACTCAATAAGAAATGATGAAATCAAGTGAGGATCTAGAATGAATTCGCTTGAAACCACAGCATATTCTCAAAGGCTCCTAGTGCTCCATCACAAGGGTGATGAACTTTTGAAACCAGTAAAATGTGAGAGCACAGGAAGTGATAAAGTTATCACGTTTACATGAAGTTTGTTTAATGTGCCAAGGGCTTGTACAGATTAATCATACACAAATATACACAATGTATGTCTGCATACATAGATGTCTAGAGAATAATCCTCTTAGGGAAGATTCTTCAGTTTACAGAAATCTGTGTAAGTTGTGGATCTCATGGGGGAAGTGTCTCTTTATGAATACTGGTCCGTTTTTCAAGTATGGAAAGATTATCTCTGTTGGAGTAGGCTTCTAATTGTGTGGATTTCTTAATTGCTTCTTGAGTTGTAACAAATGAACCAAAAAAATGACTAACCGGATTTTCATGGCTGTGTTGATAAAAATTTCTTATAAGCTTTCTGTCAATTATTTGAGACTGGTTTTCCTGATTTTTTTCTTCGATAGATACATGTTCACAAGATCTCAGGAAACCACCTCTCAGGTGCTAGCTTCCTAGGAAAAGAAGCTTCTGACTAACCATGATGAGCTCGTTTCATCTGCAAACCATCAAGTTTGAGACGTCATTGTTAAGAATCATGAAAATGTTAACTCCAATGTACTGAAAATCATGAATCTTGAAATCTTGAATTTAATATTGATTGGCATTGACAAAAATGGTTCTTTCTTGAGTGCGTCCTATGTTGCTGGCTCAGCATATGAGTGAACTGAGAATCCTCCTTTAGCTCCCTCTGTCTGTAGCACTGAGTGGATTGACAATCTTCAGAGTCATCCATGAAGGAGAGTCCTGAGGTTCGTGGGATTCTTGTAGACACTCAGGGGAACAAAAGAAAGAAACAGAATTGAGGGCTGCCCAGCCATTTCCACATCACTAGGAACAATTACCATCTAAGTATAAAGGTCTACATATTCAGAAAACCCTGCATGACAGGCTGATGTAAAAAAAATTTCAATCCCACAGAGGCTCCACAGCAACCGTTACAGTTCTTTCAGGGAAGAAATAATCTCCAAGTTGTGAGTCAGTAAAGATGCTCTGAGCTACAGTAAAAAATTGGATTGGGCCCAGATTTGTCTGAGTTCAATGTGATTATTATACTCAGCTGCTGCTCCGATATGGACTGAGTATGGATAATTTAAATGAGCCTGGCTGTGTGGTTTGTTGTATGAAAATCTGAACTAAATAAACATAAAGGGCATGTCTGGACTAGCATGAGGGTGAGAGATCCTGGGAACCCCACCCCCCATACTCTTATCGCCCTTTCATCCAGGAACCTCCAGGTTCTCAGGGTGAGAATCCACCTAGATCCCTGCATGGCTGTATTACCATAATCATGGAGACCATCATAATCAGAGACCAAAACCTCTGATAAATACACCCGGACCTTGTTCCGACATACAAATAGGGGAACGACATTTTTAGATCCTTACGTACGTGGCGAAAGGCAGATCTATTCCCATTACAAGCCCATACCAGCAACCTACGTTTATCATGAAAATGGGTAAAATTAGCCAATAGGGGTATATTTAAGAAAATTTTCCTGTGATGTTCCAGCCAGAAAAGAGCAAAAATCAGCTTCACACCTGGAGACTTCTTGTATCGGGCACAGTCCAGAGAAAGAAGATCACCAGAGTATTAAGATTCATCTGTAAGAACATGTAATGCTTCCATGTTCCACACATTACGTCTCACCAGTTTAGTCAATATGGATTAAATATGAGAGTGTGGCAATGCACGAACTCTGTCTGAGGAGGAATATAGGAGAAAAAAGGTTAAGGAAAATAGAGCAATTTGAAGCTTCTGACAACAGCAACTTCAGCACCAATAAAATGATTTCACCCTCATTGGCCTCAAATTTACTTCTCATGGTGCATCTGCAGGGTTCCCAAGTGAGACCAGGTGAATCCAATGTGCATGCACTTCCCAGCTGTCCACTTGTATTCTGTTTTCTTCTGTTTGCAGAAAGTAGACACATACTCAGCCTTAGTGAGAGTGTAGGAAGTGTTTTCCGTGAGATGGATACCAGAAAAAAAGGGCAAACATGGGATCCATTAATGTAAAATGTAAAGATTAGCCACACTGTGTGTGTGTGTGTGTGTGTGTGTCTTGAATAGAGTTGGAGTGGGCTTCTATCCACATGCACCTGCACCTGCAGGTATTCTCAGGTGCAATAATCAACTGCAGGACCCTAAAGGAAATAAGAGTCTCCCCAAACCTCTGAAGAGTTTTTGGGTTCACCATGTGTCCAATGATTCATTGCCTCTTGAGCTCCAGGAAAAGGCTCCCTGGTAATGCATGGGATCTTTTCCTGGAGTCTCTTTGTAGAGTTCACTGGGTTTCCTAAGGGCAATTCACTATTTCAAAAGATAGTGAGAGAACCATGTGGTGTCCCTAAAGGAGAATTCTGAGCCAGGGCACAACCACTTTATACCGAGTTGGATACACTGGTAGGAATATACTCTGTCAGCTCAGATAGAAACCTCCCTGCGTGGTGGGGGCTGGGCTGCAGGGGGCGCTCCGGATACACCCAGAGCAGGTGCACAGGAGACTGGGGAGAGGTTCTTCCCAGGGCCTGGGACTTCCTTTAAAAATATCTAAAATAAGTATTTCGCACAGACTGCTGAAGTTTGTATAAATATCTATTCAATTGTGAGCATTTATCAAACCGGATGTTGTAATGATAACCACTTTTACAATGGGGATTTCAAACTCTGCTGGATATCTTAGCAGTAAGCAGCTGGAGGTCAGGAAGAGATCCTTTTTTATAAATAAGTGCAAGTTTTGGAGCAACACACATTCCCAAATAACTCGTTCACACAGTAAGGTCTACAAATGGTTCAAGTTGCCCTGAGATATTCAAATGTGGGTTCAAAGTGAGGTGCGTGTCCTGGGGGAGCTTGTTCACCCGTGGGGGAAGCTCTGTCGACACAGAGTTCAGGGATGTGTAGGGGACGCATGGCCTCTAACAGGATTATGGCTTGAACCCTCACCTTCTACAGTTGTGTCGTCCATGTGGCATGTATTTGCTGTTTCTCACACTGGGTCAGGAATTGGGCTATTAAATAGCATCCTTCACGAATATGCAAATAACTGAGATGAATATAGTATCTCTGTGCCCTGAGAGCATCACCCAACAACCACACTCCTCCTCAGGAGAATCCCCTAGTGCACAGCTCCTCACCATGGACTGGACCTGGAGGATCCTCTTCTTGGTGGCAGCAGCAACAGGTAAGGGACTCCCCAGTCCTAGGGTTGAGGAGGAAACCAGGCCAGTCATGTGAGACTTCACCCACTCCTGTCTCCTCTCCACAGGTGCCCACTCCTGGTGCAGCTGGTGCAGTCTGGGCCTGAGGTGAAGCCACCTGGGGTCACAGTGAAGGTTTCCTATAAGGCTTCTGGTTATACCTCCACCATCTATGGTATGAATTGGGTATGATAGACCCCTGGACAGAGCCTTGAGTGGATGGGATGGATCATCACCTACACTGGGAACCCAACGTATGCCCAGGGCTTCACAGGACGGTTTGTCTTCTCCATGGACACCTCTGTCAGCACAGTGCATCTGCAGATCAGCAGCCTAAAGGCTGAGGACACGGCCGAGTATTACTGTGCGAATTACATAGTGTGGAAACTCACATCCCGAGAGTTTCAGAAACCCTAAGGAAGGAGGCAGCTGTGCTGAGCTGAGGCAGTGGTGCAGCAGTTTTCTTAACTTCCATATTATCTCATTTTGCATTGAGTTCCACTTTTATATCAGCCAAGAATATGGGATAGAGGGGTGGTCCTAAGAGATTGTTAACTTGCCCATTTTGATGGGTTTTCCAGAAGACGTGAGAAGCCACTTTGTTTGCAAAGCATCCCAAAGCCATGCCCTGCTCCAGAAACACGTGTACCCATTTCCTGGCCTTTGATTAACTGACAAGCTCTCATCAGTGCGCCTGGACTAATTTCACATCAGGTAGAAAAATGTGCTGTAAAGCAAGGTTAGCGTTGTAATAGCAATTCCTACTTAATAACCGTCAACATCGTTGTTGTGTGATCCATCAGATAATTACGTTAATTGCAGGTTCTCAATGGGAGTTTCTAATAAATATGAGGGATGTATAGAAGTTCCCCTAATTAAAATTAAACAATTGTGAAGACAACCTCAATGTTCAACCATATTTCCACCCTTCACACCCTTCACCACAAAGGAAGTTTCATCTCTCCTGGAAGTTGGGTTCATTTTCAAATTAGTTATGTTTTATTTTAATATCTCAAGATTATTGTATGTGATATTTTAGCAGAAAGTGAATTATGGGAACTTGAACTAACCAACTGAAAATACATTCACAACTAATTAATCAAGATGCCAGAATGTAATGGGCTCCAGGCATTTTAAATTCAACAGGCTTTGGAACCAGGCTTTAAATTTACACATCTTCCTGTTACCTTCACAGCACAGTCAACTCCCATTATGTAAGAAATCATGAGTGCATTCCCAAGGGTCATGCACAGTTATAAAAATAGACATGGTGAGATGAGGAGTCGATTGTTTAAATTCCCCTCTGAAGAAGCAGCATCAACCCAATGAACCACTCTCTTCCCTCTGTGACGAGAGCTATGTCGCAGACCACATGGACCTAAATCCTTGATGGAGATAACATGACTACATAAATTGGACTGATCGCTTTCATGCTATAAAATTAATAGGTGACTCTGCACTCCAGCCTGGGCAACAGAACAAGTCTTGTCTGTAAAATACAAAGGAAAGATAAATTAATAGATACTGACTGACATTTCAGATATTATTTTCATAAACCGAATTTAATTATACCCACATTGTTACCTACATCTTCATTGAAAAGTTCCTAGTTATGTTGAGTTCCATCAACACTCCACGTGTTCAAATCTGGACATCCAAGAGAATCTGGAGAACAAAACACAATGAGGGCAGTGAAACTGGTGTATATTCAGCACCTCTTAACTCAGGAGGACTCCGTACACCCTGGAACAGTCTGCTTTTCTGAATGGCTCACAATGACTCCGGCTCACTCTCTGTCATCCTCAAACATCTGGCCCCTGTTTGCCCTAAGTTCACTCTCTGCTCCTAGTCTATGCTCTGACGTATTTGCAGAGGTGAAAATGAGCTGTCAGACACAACTTACTTCTCAACTCAACATGGAATTTACTGTTTCATTTATTGACCACTCTTTCCATGATGGTTGATTTCTTTTGACCTGTTTATTACTGGTGATTTTCCAGGGAATCTCACTTGAATCTTTACTCTTTTGCATTTTGTCTCCATGACAATGTTGGGAAGTTTTTCCTCTAGCATTATAACATGGTCCAGCCACCTGACACATATGTGGCAAAAAATACCTACAAATTCAGAAGTTCTTTGGTTTTCTTTCCACAAAATATAATTGTTGCTCTTCTGTGTATGAGCGTATCCTAGCATCCCTGTACACGCCCGTGTAGATGTCTACAAGCCTATGAATTTATTCCCTGTAAATTAAAAAAATCTCAATTTCCCTCAATGTTCATAATTCTCCTGAGGGTGAGGAAGGTATTTCTGTTCAAACAAATGGCCCAGAGACCACCTGGTAGGTAGGCAAGAAGCTCACTTCGCTCTGGATATTGAGTCTGTCGGTCTCTCTCCCTCTGTCTTCTCACAGAAAGTCAGCCCACTTGTTCAGCTCCTAAGAAGAGAGCTCAGGTTTAGCCGAATTATACAACACACCCCGCTTCTGATGACTCTCCTGTTACCACAAATCCATGGAGTAGTTTATTTATTATATAATTCACCAAACTAATGTGAAATGCCCAAGTTGCAATAATGCACACCTTAGGGTATGTTCATGCAATTCAGCGGAAGAGAAAGCCTTTCAGAGACAGATGGATCTGAATTGGTAAATATGTGGGTACGAATTCTGGACTTGAGTGTCATTGTCCAGTCATGTTTCACAGGTGTGACCTGTCAGGGAAGAACCAGAGTTCCTTGTTCTCTCAGAGGGAAGGGGTTACAGAGCTGCTCTCTAGGAAAGGTAATTTCACTAATCGTGGTGATGAGACTATCCTTCAGTGCTGATGTACTATAGCGTTTTTAACTGAAGTTGTCACTGCTATCCCCAGTGTACATCTTTTCACACAGAAGTGTTTAGAGGTCAGGGCACATTCTCAGGGTCACACATTGAGAAGGATGGAGATATATCCCACTACCTTCTCCTGAGATCTCACACAGAATCTCAAATTTCAAAAGTTCTCAGAAGGGTAGTTCTCAGGTGCTATTTAAAAATAACGCACTTCCTGGGACAGGTAGCGTCCCTCTAACCATGATGGATGTTCTGAACTATAGTATACATTGCATGGATCCAGGTTTGTCTCAATTCACTGTGATTATTACACTCAGCTGTTGTTTCAATGTGTCTGAAGAGGTAAATGACAATTTAGATGACCTGGATGTGTGGTTGGTTTTATATGAATCTCTAAGGGTAGAACAGTTGACCCTATTCCAAAATCTGTCCCTGATCCATGATCACACTCATCTCCCAGACAAGCTCCTTCAGCACATCTCCCTACCTGGAAGAAGAGGAATCTGGGTTTGATGAGGGGAGGCCCCAGGAAGAGAACTGAGTTCTCAGAGGGCACAGCCAACATCCTCCTCGAAGGGTGAACCCAAAAGACTGGGGCCTCCCTCATCCCTTTTCACCTCTCCATACAAAGGCACCACCCACATGCAAATCCTCACTTAGGCACCTACAGGAAACGACTACACATTTCCTTAAATTCAGGGTCCAGCTCACATGGGAAATGCTCTCTGAGAGTCATGGACATCCTGTGCAAGAACATGAAGCACCTGTGGTTCTTCCTCCTCCTGGTGGCGGCTCCCAGATGTGAGTGTCTCGGGGATGCAGATATGACGATATGGGAGGCTGTCTCTGATCCCAGGGCTCACTGTGGATCTCTCTGTTCACAGGGGTCCTGTCCCAGGTGCAGCTGCAGGAGTCGGGCCCAGGACTGGTGAAGCCTTCGGAGACCCTGTCCCTCACCTGCGCTGTCTCTGGTGGCTCCATCAGCGGTTACTGGTGGAGCTGGATCCGCCAGCCCCCAGGGAAGGGGCTGGAGTGGATTGGGCGTATCGATAGTAGTGGGAGCACCGAATACAACCCCTCCCTCAAGAGTCGAGCCACCATTTCAAGAGACACGTCCAAGAACCAGTTCTCCCTGAAGCTGAGCTCTGTGACCGCCGCGGACACGGCCGTGTATTACTGTGCGAGAGACACAGTGAGGGGAGGTGAGTGTGAGCCCAGACACAAACCTCCCTGCAGGGAGGCGGAGGGGGCGGGCGCAGGTGCCGCTCAGGACCAGCAGGGGGCGCGCGGGGCCCACAGAGCAGGAGGCCGGGTCAGGAGCAGGTGCAGGGAGGGCGGGGCTTCCTCATCTGCTCAGTGCTCTCCCTCCTCACCAGCACCTCAGCTGTCGCCAGGGCTCCTCTTTCTTTGATATCTGTGGTTCTGCTTCCTCACATCGTTGTGCCAGGCAAGAAAGGAGGAAGACAATTTTTCTGCTTACTGCTTCGGTTTCATCAATTACTAGGAACTTTCCTACAAGTTCCTGCATGACTCATAATGGTAAAATATATATATATATATATATGGATTCTCACCATCTCTTGATTTGTGTCGTCAATCAAATGGTGCCCTCTTTGAAATTCATTTACTAAAACCTTAAATCCAATGGATCTATACTGGAATGTTAATGATGTAACCTCTCTCTTTTTTTTCTCGTGCACCCAGAGAAGAGGCCGTGTGGAGACCTAGTGCACTAGGAGGTGGCCCTCCGCAAGCCAGGAAGAAGCCACACTAAGAACCAATTTTGCCAGCTCCTTGATCTTCGACATTCAGACTGCAGAATTGTAAGAAAATCAGTATTTGTTGTTTAAGCCACCCACTCCTGTTGTCTTTTGCGAAGACCCAAAGTGACTAATACCACATAACTCTGTTAGCTCTGTCTCCTGGAGGGAGAAGCAGCCCCCTGAGGCTGGGCACAACTCTCAGATTTCCACAAGAAGTAGGCAAAAATAGTAGCTCTGATATAAAAACTTGTCATGTCCCTGTTGACCAATTTCTCGGCAAAGTGTTTTAATGAAGCCCTTGGGGCTTTGTCACAAATGTTGTCTTTTATCTTTTATTTGGACATAATAAATACACAAGAGGTACCAGCTGGATGGAGATTGGCCACTGACCATATTCTGTTGTCTCCTTAGTATGTCACAGAAAACCACACCAACATCACCAACGTCACTGGTTTTATTTTCTACTACCTCAAATGGACTATAGAAATGATCCCTGCAGTATAGTCTATTTCTTCAAGTTTCTAAATTTGCACTGAATATCTTCCTAAATGGGGAGCTACACGGGGTCTGAGTTTTGTTTCTTTCTTCCCAGTCTTCCCAGTACCAAGGACAGAATAGACTTAAAATAAAATTGGGCTGTCAATGACCCCAACACCATATCGCTTTCTAAAATCCACATCCTGCATCCATCCTTCTCTGGACACTCCTTATCGGGCTACCCGAGAATGACCAGAAACTGGTATCAGCTTATGGGCTGAGGTCACAAGCTATACACACATGTGATTTCAGTCACACACACTCTACTGCAGGACCACAACTATGTGCTGAGGAGCTCAGGCACCAGCTGATCTGAGTCGTTCTCTAATCAATCACACACCTCTTATTAATGAAGGCCCAGATGGCCCCATCAGCTGCAGAGCAATGGAGTAAAGCTCATGGGTGGGTCCGTCAGGCAGAAGTCAGACAATGAGATGGGATGGCTGGTCACTTCCATTTTCACTGATGTTCCCAGTGAATTTTAATGAAATAAAACAATATTACCTACCAAGGGACAGAAAAGAAGACTGGCTCTTCAAGGTAATTAAGGACCAGGAACTTCATTTGGGGGGATAGTGAAAGACACTTTTAAGTGGAAAGCCCTAAAGCACATACAATAGCTGACAGAGTGGCCACTGTGCAAATGAAGGGTGAGGAGCCGATGGTAGGGTCCGTTCCTCCAAGATGTCCCTGGGTATGTGATGGTTGGACTTCTCATGCATATGAATGTAAGAGCTGGACTCAGGGAGAAAAAAGGGCCATATCCCATAGCAAAGGAAGGAAAAAAAGCAGATGGGCATCCCTGGAGAGAGCTCATTAGATTTGGTGTGTTGAAGATGAAAATTTCTTCCAAAAATTGTCATGTTCTAACCTAAATGTGAATCTCTTCAATAAATTGAGAATTAACAGGAGAATGGAGTTAGGACTTGAGAGAGGAAACAAATCATGAGAGAGCAGAAAGCAAATCCACAAAAACTGCCACATGACAGAGGCCAGAATGGAACTGATGCAGCCACTTCATTATTCTGCAGACTTGTTGACCATGTGGAGAAGGGGCTTGAACAAATGGGGACGTTCTCCACCCTTCCGAATCAGCCTCCTTCTTATGCATGAGTAGAAATCATAGTTTGGGGGTGACCTTCCAAATTTTCCTGTCTTTACCTCTTCCGCCAGGGGTAGAATGTCTTTTCCCAACCACAATGGTTTCTCACCAGTGTCCTCAGCTTCTGATCCTTTGTACTTACCCTGCAGATTAAGAATTTCTTCTGGATGGAGTTTTCTGGGAATTTTCTGTTTTCTTTAGTTTCTGTTGACTCAACCACACCCCATAGGACACAGGTTTTATTGGATTTCCCCCTGGAGATAGTGGAGGTGGATCCAGGCATTCAGTAGTCCTCGCTGTTCTTCTCTTCCTGTCAGCACCACTGGACAGCAGATAAGGGTATTGACTGTGGATTTTTCAAATTCCTGGGAAAATACTGCAAGGACTAGTAGATTCACACTCTACCACCATTAGCACATGCATCCAAAAAAAAAAACCTCACTAGATATGTCCAGGTCAGCCTGTTCCTCTCTCAATGCCATCCCATGGCACCTGCCCTGGGTCCACTAACATGTGGGCCCCAGTCCTCTTGGCTAGTGTCTGTCTCCTCAGATTTCATTCTTCTTGTTTGCTCTGTGAAAGCAACTTAGATATGTTAAAAGGTTTTCTTCTTCATTTATTCACAGTTTTTCAGGTTTGTTGTTAATGAGGTCAGAATGAGATAATAGTTTTCTCATTTTTCACATTTGCACACTGAGTAGCCACTTTCTATATAAAAGTCAGAAACTAAGAGAACAAATCAAATATCCATATCCACTACAGGTGAAGAACGATAAACAATTTGACATATGGTTATGGACCAAAGTACAATGCAGAATTAGAATCAAGGCATCCTCATTCTCATAAAAGCCTGTCTACATTCTCAAATAACTCTGCTGAGTGAAAGTAGCTGAAGAATTAAGAGTGCACTTCGTAAACTTCTCTAATTCCATAAACTGCAAAAGGTCCAACTATTCCAAAGCAACAGAGCAGATTTGAAATTTGTGAGAAATAGGTGCTGAAAGTAATTGAGTGGTGAGAGGAAATTACAGAGAATTGACAGAAAGATTTAGGGGTTGACTTAATTGTACACAACCTGATTAAAGTTTGCACACATACGTTACCATTTTCCAAATTGTGCAGTGTATATTTGAATTGATTATTAATTGTACTTAAAAAGCAGTAACAAAGAAACAATGAATAAGTTGATTGAGGAGGAGCAAGAAATAGATGAGTATGAGCACTCGAAACATCCCAGACTCTTGAAAGTACATGTGCTTTAACACCGGTTCTCTCTATATATTTCAGGCCAACAGCAGAATACAATAAAAAAACACAGAGATGTCCTGGCAGGGGTAGAATCCTGCAAACCTCACTAGACATGTCCCACACTGCCCTCGAGTTGTCTCAGGAGAGAAGTCTCCTCTAGTGGTCAGAGGCACAGGCAGAGATAAAGAGGCTAACGCTGTCCAGCTGTGTGACCTGAATGCACTGTACAAACACTCTGTTCTGTATGTAATTTATCTTTCTTAAAATGTAACATTGTCTCTTGCATTAAATGTATTCTACAAATATGTAAAAATGAAGATGATGACTGCTAAATGATTGTCAAGGCACAATCATATCAAATTATGTTTTCCTGAGTGATAAGATCACTACCGATCTCCCCCAGGGCACTTTATCTGCTCTGAGCACTGACCCTTCTCAGGATTCCCGTCCCAGAGCTTGCTATACAGTAGGAGACATGCAAATAGGTTTCTCCCTCTGCTGATGAAAGCCCAGTCCCGACCCTGCAGCTCTGGGAGAGAAGCCCCAGCCCTGGGATTCCCAGGGGCTTCCACGTGGTGATCAGGACTAAAGACAGAGGACTCACCATGGAGTTTGGGCTGAGCTGGGTTTTCACTGTTGCTGTTTTAAAAGGTGAACTAGAGAGATGAAGTGCGAGTGAATAAATTTGAGGGAAACAGTGGATATGTCAGGCAGTTTCTGACCAGGATGTCTGTGTGTTTGCAGGTGTCCAGTGTGAGGGACAGCTGGTGGAGTCTGGAGAGGACCCAAGACAACATAGGGGGTCCCTGAGACTCTCCTGTGCAACCTCTGGATTAACCTTCAGTAGCTACTGAATGAGCTCCATTTCCCAGGCTCCAGGGAAGGGGCTGGAGTGAGTAGTAAATATATAGTATGATAGTAATCAGATATGTTATGCACAATCTTGAAGAGCACATTCACCATCTCCAAAGAAAATGCCAAGAACTCACTCCATTTGCAAATGAACAGTCTGAGAGCAGAGGCACGACTGTGCATTACTGTATGTGAGGCCCTAGGTAAGAAGACAGTAGCGTGAACACAGACAAAGAATTTGCTGCAACGATAAGGGAGGAGGCTGGGTTAAAGGGGGCTCGGGGGCTCTCAGAACCCACAGGAAACAGGGGCAGCTGTAGGGCAGGTGCAGATGGTCGTCACGGGCTGCTTTCCTTCAGGGTCTGTGGCTTCCTGTACATACAACAGTTTCCCTGGCAGCCCCTCTACATTTATGTTTCTGTGGCCACCCCTGCGGTCTCTGGACATTCTCATTTGTCCCAAAGGCAGATGTAAGTATTGGAGGCATAAAAATGCACAGGAGGCCAGGGAGGCTGCAGACATTGTTACCCCAGAATGTCAATCTCACCCCTAGTGCTGGAGGAGGGTGTAGTTTGATGAGGCTGCCCTAAGTACCCTGTAGTCTAAGATGAGTCCAGTGAGGCCACTGGTGCCTCCCACAGCACAGTTGTCCATCAGGGATCTCCCATGTGTCCCAGCAGCAGCC